CCCCAAAAAAAAACATACTTTCATAGTAGAAGGGGAGGGGCTATCCGACTCTGATGCTGGATGACAAAATAACCTTATAATATGCCATACACTAGATAGTAGAATACAGTTCTGCCTCAATCAAATAACTAATTTGATGCTTATTAATAGTTAGTAAGGTTGTTGTTATGTTTGGGGTGCATTAATATCTAAAAAAGGGGTCATGCAAAATAAGGCATTAATATGTGCTTTATAAGTACTAATAAACAGCCAATATGCTAGTAATATGCATGCTAATAAGCAATTACTTAATAGTGAGAACTGGTCCCTAAATGAAAGTGTTACCAGTTTAATAGAAGTACATATTATAGAGTACCTCTTTTGGGACCCAACTATAGTCTGTACAATGATAAATGTTACAAACAGCAGCATGTCACCTTGTTGACATGAATTCAGTGAGTGGTGTCCAGGTTTCATCTCAGAAATAAATTAGATCATTTATATACAGAGTTCTGTCATGAAACTCTAGATGGCGCAGTCCGATAGGTCTAACTCAATCTGACCTAATGACATCATTATCACATAGCACAGCTGATTGGTTCTCTCCTGTATCGGTAGCCAATGAGCTCGCTGCTCAACATTCAAATATATGACTAGTGCTTGCAGTAGCAGTTGCAGCTTGCTTCAGAAACCCTCCACCTTCCCCAGCTCCACCTGTATAGATCTGCTACGAGGTGATTCATGTATGCTATATGGGGGTTATTTCATGTATGTTATATTTGCAGCAGCAATATTTCTTACATGCTCACAGCAGCATGTTGTGGATGTATTGGCAGTAGGAAGTCTCGGTTATTGCTCTGCCGCAGCAGCAGCGTAGCAGATCTATTCCGCCAAGACCAAATACATTAACATTGTCATGTACATTCAGGGCTCGAAATTAACTTTTTTACTTTGTAGCACTGGTGCTCCCAACTTCAAAAAGTTAGGAGCACTGACCAAAAATTAATGAGCACCACAACTACAAAGTATATATTAACAGATTTTATCCTTACATTCTTTACTTTAATGCAGATTTTAGATTGGTTTATATTAGCTGTCAATCACTTTGCAATGCAGAACACAGAAGCTGCATCTGAAGTGGCATTTAGATACATTTACACTGATTAATGCAGGACATGAATGCATTTAACCTGCAGTTACACATGCATAAATGTTTGAATTTTGTGATGCATTTTAATAGAATGAATCATGCAGCGAAAGAACGCACTCTAAATGCGCACGTGCACTAGTCTAACCTACTAGACTTCATCACGTCACAGCTAATATTAACCAATCTAAAATCTGCATTAAAGTTAAAAATGTAAAGCTGAAGTTTAATTGGTTATGTAACATTTGATAGAATGACAGACCGGTCACCGTATCAACACTCAGAAGGCACATACTCTGATCGTTTTTAGAGATATGAAAACAGGTCGCACGACAACAATTATATGCACTCGCACAAATGCTCCCAAATATATTTTGAGGTCGCACAGATGAAATTTCGGGAGCATATGCGACCAAAATGGTCGCAATTTTCGAGCCTTGTACATTACCATGCCAATCCCTCCGAGAGTTGTCATGACAGAAATATATATATTAAATCCAATTGTAGTCAAGTAAGAAGAAAGACATTTCTGCTCATATTACTTCCATGTTGCAAGTATTTGACAGAGTAATCAGCCAGTAATAGCGCAATGGAGGCACTGCTTCCTGTCACATGACTTTTAACCTTTATTTTACTGTTCGCCATTCACATTCACGCCACACTTTAGAAACTCCGTGATAACACAGTGATCTGGTGTTGTATGCCACAATTTGCTTAGACAGTGTTACTTTAGGTGGGAAATTAGAACACTATTTAGTCTCGTATTCCATAATTTGTTTTATAATTCTTTTTTTTTTACGATCCCTGTCTTGCCTCCTCAGAGACTAAGTACATACTACTTATAGGTCTTACAGGTGAACCCTATTCTTGCATGCTCCCTTGTCAGGTCTTATGTCTTCCATGTCTTGTTGTTTGTAGTCACTGTTTCATCGGGTACAGATGGACCCCATTGAGAAAGAGTGGCTGCGTTGTGCAGCGCTGGGAAACGCTACTACCCTGTACCTGCTTCTACAACAGGACCCTACACTTGTCTCCAAAAAGGTGAGACTTCACCATTGCATTTTATTTGTAAAAATTCAAACGTTTCAATAACTAAAAAATATATATTATTTATTATTCTCTGTATGGTGCCAGTACCATAATTTTCCTGATTACTAGTAATTTGTGTAGTGACTTGAGGGTTGCAGCGGTTGCGTTTCCTGAGTTGTAAGGGTCAAGCTAATTAGGATGAGGATTACGTTACTGCACAGAACCAGAGAGTGTCTCTTTTGAAGATTTAGGGCAGGATGAAAAGACTTGGACAGGAACTGATTGTTGTTTGACCAGGAGCGTTTTTGTTGCCTGATAGTGTTAGAGGAACAGAGTGGGTCTTCTTTAAAGGTGAAGAGAAAAGAAAATAAAACACGCTGACGACTTCCAGATATTGTTTGTCCCCTGGATGCAAGCGCAGCCTGTATTGGCTTAACTTCAGAAGCCTTTGGCCCCAAGGCTGTGTATTCTGCCACTTACGCACACTTCCGAAACAAGGGAGATGGTTGGACACAGAAAATAGAGAGGAGGAAAAGAAAAGGAAGGTGGCAGAAGTGTGTCTGGTTGTAAATCATCACATATGTGCCTGGCAGCAGCAGCGGGTCACGGCTCTACGGGAGTGAGGCCCAAAGCAGCAGCTCTTATTAAATTTTCATGAAGTTTAGTGAATTTACGCAGTGAGCGAGGATGACAGGGAACGGCTGGGGCTGCTAAGTGCTTGCAGCGTTGCTGTAGAGCAACTGGCAAGAACACTTACCACCTCTATAGCTACTGCTAATACTAATAGCTACTTATTTTACTCTAGTTTAACCAGTTGTCAGATATTAATGGAACATTCTCAGAAAACGGTGCCATTTGTGTCCAAAAATTTCTAGGAATTACTTTGAAACAGTTACTCTTGAACTAAGTCCTAAAGCACCAGTATGTGTTTACAGACTTGCAGTGCAAGAACCAATAGTTATTTAATGTTACTAACCCTGAGTCTCTAGTTGAGTTGCAGGTTAATTAGTAATTAATCAGTAGTAAATCATGGCCCAAAATTCCTGCAAGCTACCCTTTTCATAAAACCTACATGAAAGAGTGTTTTTAAAACATAGTTAGCTTTACTTTTTTTCCTCAACATGTCAACAAAAATTCAAACATTGTTCATCGTTCTTTCCACTAGTTTTCAAAGTCAAACGGATTTCATAATCTTAGTGCAAGTTTGTGGACCTGCTACCGTCAAAGAGAACACTTTAAATCATGTGTCTACTAGCATGCTTGTGCTGATAACAGCAAAATTTTCTTTTTTGTAAGTGATGCTAACTTAGACAACAACAGGGCATTTCCAAAGAGCACGCAAGGCTTTCGTCTGTACCTCACAATCCATTTTTCAAACAAGGAACTGGTTCAAATGCATCTTCATTGTCTTTAAAGATAAGATGGGACTTTCTCATCAGATCTGACTTCAGATGTGGCAGTCAAAGATGGACATTTTTAGTGGACCTTTTTGCTCATCCAGTCCCCCCAGGTCAACAGTAATGGCCAATGCTCTTAACCAGGATCAGATAAAAGCGATAGTGTTGATGGGATAGACAGCATCTTATGTGGCCATCACGATTGAGAGACAAAAACTCATAGGAAAGGTTAATCTCAGGCCCTTATCAATCAATTACATTTGGCTTTGTGGAATTAATGGCATGGCTGGAATTGCTTGGCAGGATTGAAAAGGGTTTGTGGGCTGAACTTGGCATTGGCGTCTCTAGGGGAAATGAAGCTCTTTGTGTTTGAAGCATCACAGCCAAATGGTTCAAACCCCTCTCATAGACGCAGATACAGAGCAAGATATTGGCGTCTCTGGAGGAAATGAAGCTCTTTGTGTTTGAAGCATCACAGCCAAATGGTTCAAACCCCTCTCATAGACGCAGATACAGAGCAAGATAACAGCTTCTCAAATTAATTAGTGCCTCCTCGTTCCCAATCAAACGGTTACCTTGAGTCCCTTGTGAATCCCTGCAGAAAACGCAGCGCCATTGAAATTGCAATGTGTGACTTTGTGCGGTGCATCGTTTGACCATGTTTGAATTATGTGTCCGTGATGGCTACAATCTCATTAGATTTGTTTCCTCCTTCTTTTCGCAGGACTTTGTCACCGTAAGTACATGAGGACTCTACTTATACCCCTTCATCCCCGTCCTCTTTGCTTCTGCTTCATGCCACTAGAAAGAACTCATGCAAACCCAATCATCAGTTTATCACTCTTTTCATGTAATTCTTAGTTTTACCCTAATCTTTCTGTTGTCCGCAATTATACTCAAGTGTTGTTTCAAGAAGATCATCAATTGTTATCTGAGGCTGGTTGGGATAGGCACTATAGGCAGTGTTGTGATGCTCAAAATACCAAAACTACCAACTTAACTACAAATTTTAGTAGGGTAACAGTTTGTTTTCAAGCAGAGTAGCTTTCCCATTAAAAAGTAAAAAATTGTGCAATAACTAGTGGCATAAAGAGAGTAAAATTAATTGGGAACACAGTTGTAAGCCCAAGTGTATATTTAAGCCTAAAATGCACACCCTCTATTTCAATTTAACTAATTCGAGATCAAATTCATTTCATGTAAATAGTAAACATGATCTCACGAAATGAAGAAGCGGAAAAATATTTATCGAGGTCGAGGTTTCATACAAATTTGTGCAATGTGTACGATTTGTGATCAAATAAAAGTAAACTTCAAACTGTACCTCTGACCCCACTCCTAAACCTAACCCTCCGCAGGGCGAGTAGACTGTATTAAAACGTGTAAATGAGATTGCCAAAACATAATATTTATGAATTGTAATGCAACAGTATTGAAAATTGCAGCGTTCGTTTAAATGAACCAGTTTGTGCGAAATTTGATTTTGAATTGTATTGTAGTAGAATGCGAATAGCTTCAAAACGGTTAGCCACTTTTTATTAGTAGCTTGTTCATCGAGCCAAGTCAGTGCTGATAGCAATGAAAAGGAAGTCAGAAAAGACAGCAAGTTTGGGGGTATTTAGATGAATGATATGCATGTATGAGTAGAGACACCCACTGGTCAGTTGCATCCATCGCAATGCTGTTGTTTTCTAGAATATGACACCAGGGAAATCAGATTTGCAAACAATAACATCCAAGGGCTTGCTAATCTTCTTAAGATAAATGAATGAAGGGGGGTGGAAATGAGAAGGGGGTGTCTGTAGCCAGGTTGGACACTGATCTTGAGGCGATCGAATAACAAGGGAAGATGAGACCAGGATCTGGGGATTAAGCTGAGGAGATCCCAGAGGAATCAAATGAGAGTTTAGCCTTTAGACTCACAATTTCTCAGCTTAGAGCCAACCACCCCCAAAACTTCAAAAACGGGAGGCTTTGAAATGGAAGTAGGTGTCCATAATCCCCTCTGTGGATGCTAATCTATGTACCTAGATTTGGTCCTTCCCTTAGCCTGAGCTTCACAACAATTCTCCTCTCCTCTCGGGCTGGCCAACTTTAGCCTTGTGATGTGTTGATGAAGGTGGAATGGATTAGTTGAGTAGGTGTCCTCTTTAGAGTAGTTCTTTCATTAGATCTCATTAGCTCTCTTGACTAGAATGTAAAGGACACTTGCTTAGAGTCCATTGTACAGTATTTCATTTGCATCAGGACAATGTTTGATCCATGTTGTCTTCAATCACTGTTGTCTTCAATGACTTCATTGGATTTCCAGGGGGTAAGTATGCTCTCTAAGAGTCGTTTTTGTTATATCAAGTTTGTTAGTGGTGTTTGCTAAGGCAAGCCTTCCCATGGTGGAGGAGAGACCCGAGTTATATAAAAGGACCAGAATATCTGAGAGACTTTTGGGTGGGCTCTTTTGATTTAGGCCAGTAAGCAACCACAAAGACTACGCTAGCAACAACATAGCAACATACTAAAAACCATCCAGAATACCTCCAGTGCCCTGGTGACCACCCACAATACCCTAACGTAGGTGTCAAACATTTTAATGCCAAGGACCCCCATATATGATGATCCCTAATAGTTTGTTCACACCAAAGCGAAGCGAATATTCATGTGAGATGTTTTTTTGTGTCATTTACGTGAATACAAACATAATAATGCTCTCCCTCCATTTTTTTTTTTGATACAACTGGACGTGTCAAACCAGACGCGTCATTAAGCTCTTCACTGATTGACTTGCGCGACAACGCGTCATGCGAATCTCCTGCTCGTGTTAAAATTTTTCAACTTGCGTGGAAGACCGATTGAGGCGAATATCACCTGTTTGCAGCAATCATGTTGCCCAATTCGCCACGTCATCTGGCGCAAATTTGCGGCTATTTGCGTCTTTGCATTGACTTTGTAATCTACTAGCGCAAATAATTTAATTCTCAATTTTTTCACAGTTTGAAAAAGTGTGGTAAAACTTGCACAGTTTGTTGGCGCCAATCAACTTGTGGGCAGACATGCAGCGCTGTTGTGCTTCAGCGTCCCGAGTTCAAGTCCTGACTTATGGACATTTATCACTTTTCATCGATCTTTATTAATTCAAGCTTTGCCTATGTTTTCAGGAGCACACAATCTAATAATGAGAGAAACCAGTGTTAATATATGAAAACATGGTCATGGTGGTTTACACCTTCAGGCATCTTCATGCAGGAGTTGAGCACTCTTGTTCAACATTAATAATTGCAATGATGAGGTATTTAATTCATGTTAATTTGTGTGTCTGGTATGCGGCCCTCTCTATACGCACAGGCAGCCAAATTATCATTGTGTCTAATTATAGTGTAATGACACGGCAATTATTAGTTTAACAAACAGGCAGCGCTCCAGCCGCCTCGGGGCGGACATGCACCTCTCTGCATCTCTCAGCCAGTAGGAGTGGAGGATTGAGCTACTGTGGTATAAAAGGATTAAATTCATGCTTAAGTTTTAGGATAAGGAAGGCTCTTTACCTCTTTTTATTGGCCTTTTGTATGTTTACAAAAAAAAATTCACAGTGTTGCAGCGTAAATGTGGTGGGATTTTAACAGTTTTCTGAGATGAGAGGTAAAACATACCTTAAAAAGTCAGCAATGTTTTGTTTCTTTTTTAATTCTTATGGCTTATGAAAGCCGACAGAGGGCTTGTTCTCATCTGCTAGTGTAAGATATGCTATGTACTATACACAAACCTTTTAAGGCAGCACCTAACTGAAATGGACCTTCATAAGAGGGAATTTATTAATCTACTCAAGCAGAAACTCTGTATCATACAAATAGACCTCCTTGCTCAAAACACACTGTAGACCGAGTTCAATAGAGTTTAATGCTAGCATGTCTAGTAACACTTGATACTCTAAAGGAGTGCTGTAGGGGTGGCGTATTTTTGTAGGCCAAATCCAGAAACGAGTTATAATTTTAGTACTTCTGGTTTCATTGACACTTTTTTTTTTTTAATGGGATTTTGGTTAATTGCCTGAAATAAGACATTGAAGTCATGTGACTGTAGCATAGTTACTTCAGTTGCGTTTAGCTTTTTACTTCTAACAATTAAGTTTAGGTTTCAAAATTTATAAAAGTTAATAAATAAAATAAAATAACCCAAAAGCCAGTGGAAAAATCCTATTAGGTTTTTGTCGAGGGGACCAGGGTGATGCTAACTTACTTCAAAAATCCATTACTGCAGTGCTCTATAATATAATACAATACATAGCACATACAAATATTGAGTAAAATGGTCTGTTATAAAATTTTTATTATTTAATTATTATGAATGAAGGTTCGTCTAATGCAGTGGTTCCTAACTAGTGGGGCACGACTCTTCTGGTATGGTCACAGATAGTATAGGGACAAACAATGCTAAATACAAATAATAATAAGTGACTAGCCATATAATTTTGCATAGTTAGGAAAACGAAATAGAGTTTTAAACTTTTAAAGTGGAGGCAAAAACTCCTATGTTCTGTCAGTCGAACTATAACGACTAGTAAACCGCATTTCTGTTGTCTATAAATACATGAAATTGTGAAATTAGTTAATATAATGTTATAAAACGTGCATATTGGAGAGCTCATACAGTTTGTTTTTCTTTTCCGCAATAAACAATTTTGATATTGTGTTGGATCGCCACTTAATGTTTAATGTAAAATCTGGGTCCTGAAGCAAAACCAGCTGAGAACAATCCCTTCAGTTCTATCTAAAATTAAAAATATTCAAAGCTTTCAGTATTATCAAACCTCAGATTTGAGTGATAAGGTCATAAAAGGTGTGTGTGTGTGTGTGTGTGTGGCTGCTCTCCCTGTGCAATAATTCAGTGTTATCCCAGCAGTCATTGTAAGAGGCTGTTAATGTTGCTCTTTTGTGTGGGGCTATGACCGTTTTTAAACAGCTCCATATGGTGACAAGCATCAGGCTTTGAGTGAGAGTGTGTGTGTGAGGGTCTGCTCTCACCCTCTCTATTGAGCCCGACCACAGAGGAGCACTATAAGCTGTCCTTTCACACTGCCAAACACACACACACACACATTGACTAAACCGACCCCAGTTTTGCCCCACACATGAAAATTACACTGCTTCTTATGTCCGGCTTGATCAGACTGGGAGAATAGAAATTGTTTGTTTGAGGTTTTTTTATTTTTATTTTTTTAAACATCTGATTATTATTATTATTATTAATAATACTACAAATTCACACTTTTTTTCATTTCATTTTTTCTTAGATTTGTTTGAAAGTGTAAATCACTTTGAAAAGTAACAATTAACTCCACAAGTCTGATTTTAGGCATCATTCATGTGTGATTACCAAATGGTGCAAAATAAATACATAAACACTTTGGTTCGGGGTTTGTTCAAATGCCTTAGCAAACACCTCTAAACTATATCTGTGTGTCATATTCCCTTGTGAAGAAAAAAAAATCCCCCAAATTGTATTGAATGTGCAAGAAAAAAAAATTATGCATAGATAATATAAAAGACCACTTAAGTGTTTTTAAAGACTTTTAAAAAGTGTATTTTAGTAATAATGTAAAAATAAAGAATGTATTACTGCTTTAAAGAATTAAGCACATTTCGATGATTTGAATAACATACTGCACTAAAGCACATGGAAAGTGCTTTATGATTATAAGTTTAACTCTAGTGTGTTATTTGATATTTGATATAAGCTAGTATATTTAAAACATACTAAATTGCAACTTAAAGATGTGTTTGTACAAAAATATTTAAATGAATGACATATAGCATAATGTTCAACAAAAATGGCATCATACCATAAATGCATGTCTGTACATTCTGCAGTAAACTTTAACTTAATTACGCTACTTAAGTGGTTCAGAAACACTCTGAAACATTTTAAACATGCAATTAAATGTCCAAAGTTGTTACATTCAGTTCGCACTTAAGTATAAGCTATATTAAAGGTATTCTTTTTAAATGCATTTTAAAATGTAGGCCTAATTATTTTTCACAAGGATATGGAAATGTCAACCTGGTCTCATGGCAAAAACGTACCCGGGGGCACATTTTCGCGAGACGCGAAATACATACCAATAAGTACATATCACTGCAGTTTCCAAAAGAAATGAACACTAGAGGCAGTAAAACTCCGACACCTTTTATTCCTTTTCACACACATTTACAGAGTTTCGATTAATAAAGCGTAATTTTCTCACAATTACTTGAAGAATATCATGTTATGACTTCAAAACAATTTTAATATGCTGGGAGATTTGAAAACTGATGCTTTTGAACGTTAGCACCGCACATATCCAGCTTCATATAAATGGGTTTTCATCGACGGTAGGTTTGTTCGTTAACTCACGGAGTAGGCTACGGAGACGCACTTTAGAGGCGAGGAGCTCCGGTTCGAATCCCGTGTAACTATGGTTCGACAAAACGGTTCAAATCTGCATATAAGGAAGTTCAAATGACACGGTTGCATCAACAAATGCGTTTTTATATCAGTTTTGCATTTGCTAACACTATCGGGTAGGTTTAGGGTTGGGTTTGGTGTAGGGCATATTTCCAACACGATAGAGCATTAACTTTTAGCGACAGTCCCCGGATATTTGAATTCTGAACCGCCGCAATACGTACCTGAAGCAACGTAATAAAAACACAGCAATACGTACCTATATCAACGTAATAAAAACATCCCAGGGTTCACGTATTGAACCCGTGTTTTAGCGCCACTCAGTGGACATTTCTCTTTGAAACTGCGGCGAAACGTGCAGTAAGGTACGTAAAAACGGTGTTGCAGAAAAGTACCCAGAGGTACGTATTTTTATGAGACTGGGTTGGGAAATGTGATGTTTAATGCTCCAATACGTTCTGCTAACATCTTAGCTGCACTAGGTTTTGCTTTTCTGTGGATTGTTCAGTGGATATTGTTTTATTGCACATTGTTTACTAAACGATCATAGACCTGGGCAGATTGTTGCTCTTCAGGACGGGGCACAGACTGGCCGGAGACCAGCAGAGAAGAGGACATTTCTCAACGGATTGTATGTGTGTGAATAAAGCGGGGCCCTGTCCGCCCAGCGTGGGCTCTGTAAGAGACGGCTTATGGGGTCAAGGTGGGCTGCCAGCTCTTGCGTGACAAGATACATAGGGCTTTTTGATTCGCTCTTCGGCAGATTACAGGTTGCTATAGTTTCTCTAATGCTCAAATCAAGCATTCAGCTAATCGGCTCAGAATAGGTTAAAGGCTGCCGCTGATTTGGAAGAGATAAAACTTGGTGACAGAAAATTGGGGAGGAGAGTTTGACAAAAGCACGGCTGCTCCGGCTTTGATGTCCCGCTCCGTGTGAATGTGGACGGGGACCGGAGAAACACTCTGAGCTTATGGCCAAACACGCCGATACGACGAAACACAATGGCGACTATGGAGAGCAACAAGGCCCAAAAGAGTTGTGTTATCCTATTACTGATGTTGTTTTCTTGCATTCTTCCACTGTCTCGCTCCGGGGATCTCTGACACACAATGAATACAAAAATAACACTTGGAACTCCTCACTTGGTCCTGAAGTTTGTAAGTAGCCTGTACGTTCATCTGCATTCATGCATTAGAGATTCTGTGTAGTCTCTAGAGGACATTTGTGTTTAGAAAGGCATAAAGATCAGTGATAGCAATGATAAATGATACCAATATTTAAATATGTATTAAAATTGTGACCTTGAGTTTGGCTCTTTTAGTTTGGCCTCAGTGAGCTAACATTGTGCTGAATTAGCTGCTATGCAAATGACTCAAGAGTGTTCCCATTCATTCATATGGGGCCTTATGCAAATGAACCCAAACACAGCTTTCATAGGTGCTTCATAAATGGGCTTCAGATACAGTGACCCAAAATTTTGGACTCTGGTATTTGGACTTTTATAACACACTTAAAAATGTCTAAATGTCATTGAATAGATAAAAATACCACTGTAGTTGTTGAGTTTTTGTCTGACGACACTATATTTAATTCGAAGTGAATGTAAAGAAGGCTGTAAACGGTTTATAATGGGTTGGACTGTTTTAGGTATTGTCAAAGTGTTTATAATGATTATATCACTGTTTATGACATATTTTAAATAGGCCTCTAAACTAACTAAAGTCAACATCTTATTTAAGTAGTATGTACAATTCAATGCATTACTTTTTTTGGTAAAAAATTAACAAAAATCCCTTGATTGATTGATTAAAATCAGCAAGTACATTAGACGGTGTTCAAAACTGTCTCCTTACCCTACCCTGATTCACAATGGTAAGCTTATAATAATGATTTATAATTTGATCTTTCGGGTCCGATTTTGCGGAAAATGTCAGTTTGGGGTGAGGAGATTGAAGGCTGACACTTCAGTGGCTCAATAAGTAGCTAGCTAACATTAGCACACTTGTTCGCTTTAGAGCTTTTCTGCTCTGAAGTGATTTATATTTTAACATTTATGTTTTCAATTGGTCAGAACAAAAGCGGCAGATATGTTACTTATTGTTCAGATGACATATTTTCGGATATATGCTGTATGTGGATGTAACATGACAGATCCGCTCTGATATGGTGATCATGATTCATTAGTGACAAACTCCACAAGTAACTTGCAATTAAAAAAATGTGTTTCAACAAGAAATGGCGATAAAGAGACAAAACTTCCGTACTTCAGTTTAAAATAAAATCAAAGAAAGAAAGAAAGATAGATGATAAAATTATAAAATAACTTCGGCCCTATTTAATGTTTTAATGCATATTACTGGTGTTAATGTGCGTGATTCATAAGTGCATGTTTTTCTAAAAAAAAAAAAAATTTTAAACTGAAAATTTTATTGATGTAATTTACATTTATATTAATTGAATTTAGATACATTTACACACACAATTGTAACAATTTATAGCTTTACTCCGCTCACTGGTGTTTTTTGTTTTTATTATAGAAATTATTATCATTGTTATTAATATTAATAATAATTATAATAATTATTATAATAATAATTCAGTGTATATATGAAACCCTGTTGCTCACTCGAGTGAAAAATAAATAAATAAATTAATTAATTTAAACATGTATTAGTATTATTATTATTATTATTATTATTATTTTACGAAAATACAATAAGGGTGATAAATTATACATTGTAAATCGATAAATCATATGTATAGTCGCAGATATACAGCGCTGAAATTCACTGAAAATGTATATCTAAAAAATGGACTACAAAATTAATTTAGGTTACAAAAATGGGCCTTGCAAAAGGTTTGATA